CAGAGACAGATGCTTCAGAGGGAGTGAACAGAACAGGGCACTTTGAGTGATCCATCCCCGGCTGTCCAGTCCCAGCTCTTAGCAGTCAGAAGTTTACAGACACCCAGAGCATGGGTTTTCGTCCCCGACCATCTTGGTTAATGGCCATTGATGGATCTGTCCTCCATGAACTTAACTCATTCTTTTTTGAACTAGGTTCTACTTTTGGCCTCCGCAATTTCCCAAGGCAGTGGTTCCACAAGGTGATGCAGCATTGCGTAAAGTGCTTCCCTATGTTTTTTTTAAACCTGATGCCTATTAATATCATGGGGTGACCCCTGGATCATGTGTTATGTGAAGGGGTAAATAATTCCTTATTCACTTTGCTCCACACCGTTCGTGATTTTATAGACCTCTATCATGTCTCTTCTCAGTCCTCTTTTCCAAGATGAACATTCCCTGTCTTTTTAATCTCTCCTCATATGGAAGCTGTTCCGTATCCCTAATCATTTTTGTTGCCTTTCTCTGTACTTTTTCCAATTCTAATATAACTTTTTTGAAGTGGGGCAACCAGAACAGCATGCAATATTCAAGGTGTGGGTGTACAGTGGATTTATATAGTGGAATTATATTTTCTACCTTATTATCTAGCCCTTTCCTAATAGTTCCAAACATTCGCTTAGCTTTTTTGAGTGATTCAGCACATTGAGCAGATGTTTTCAGAGAACTATCCACAATGATGCCAAGATCTCTCTCTTGAGTGGTAACAGCTAATTTAGATCCCATCATTTTGTAATTGTAGTTGGGATTATTTTTTTCCGATTAGCATTACTTTGCATTTATCAACATTGAATTTCATCTGCCATTCTGTTGCTCAGTCACCCGATTTTGGGAGATCCTTTTGTAACACTTTGCTGTCTCCTTTGGACCTAACCATCTTGAGTAACTTAGTATCATCTGAAAACTTTGCTACCTCACTGTTTACTCCTTTTTCCAGATCATTCATGAATATGTTGAACAGCACTGGTCCCAAAACAGATCCTTGAGGGATGCTGCTGTTAACCTCTCTCCACTGTGAAAATGGACCATTTTTTCCTACCTTTTGTTTCCTATCTTTTAACCAATTACTGATCCATGAGAGGACCTTCTCTCTTATCCCGTAACTGCATACTTTGCTTAAGAGCCTTTAGTGAGGGACCTTGTCAAAAGCTTTCTGAATGTCCAAGTACACTATATCCACTGAATCCTCCTTGTACACATGTTTGATGACCCCCTCAAAGAATACTAATAGATTGGTGAGGCATGATTTCTCTTTTCAAAAGCTGCGTTGACTCTTCCCCAACATATTGTGTTCATCTATGCGTCTGACAGTTCTGTTCTTTCCTATGGTTTCAACTAATTTGCCTGGTACTGAAGTTAAGCTTACCAGCCTGTAATTGCCAGGATCAACTCTGGAGCATTTTATTAAAAATCGGCCTCGCATGAGTTATCTGCCAGTCATCTGATACAGAGGCAGATTTAAGTGATAGGTTTTCATATCACAGTTAATAGTTCTGCATTTTCATATTTGAGTTCCTTCAGAACTCTTGGGTGAATACTATCTGACCCTGGTGACTTATTACTATTTAATTTATCAGTTTGTTCTAAAACCTCTTCTATTGACACCTCAATCTGGGATAGTTCCTCATATTTCTAAGCTAAAAGGAATGGCTCAGATGTGGGAATCTCTCCCACGTCGTCTGCAGTGAAGACCAATGCAAAGAATTCATATAGCTTGTCTTCCTTGAGTGCTCCTTCAGCACCTCGATGGCCCCCTGTCCCCACCGATTGGTTACCAGACTTCCTTCTTCTGATATACTTAACAAAAAATTCTATTAGTTTTTGTGTCTTTTGCTAGTTGCTCTTCAAATTCTTTTTTGGCCTTCCTAATTATACTTTTACACTTGACTTGCAAGAATTTGTGCTCCTTTCTATTTTCGCGAGTAGGATTTGACTTCCAATTTTTCAAAGGCGTGTTTTTGTCTCTGACCGCCTCTTTTACTCCATTTAGCCATGGTGGCATTTTTTGGAACTCTTACTTTTGACAAAAAGAAATGGGGTATACATTTAGTTTGAGCCTCTTTTACGGTGTTTTTTTTTAACGTTTCCATGCAGCTTGCAGGCATACCACTCTTGTGACTGTTCCTTTTGATTTCCATTTAACGAGTCTCCTCGTTTTTGTGGTGTTCCCCTTTGTGAAGTTAAATGGTACTGTGGTGGGTTTCTTTGGTATTTTCTCCCCTACAGGGATGTTAAATTTAATTACATTATGGTTACTATAAGGTTAACCTCTTGGACCAAATCCTGTGCACCACTTAGGACTAAATCCAGAATTGCCTCTCCCCTTGTGGGTTCCAGGACTAACTGCTCCAAGAAGCAGTCATTAATGGTCTCTAGAAATTTTATCCTGAGGTGTCATATTCCCAATCTATATGGGGCTAGTTGAAATCCCCCATTATTATTGAGTTTTCTGTTTTTGTAACCTTTGCAATCTCCCTGAGCACTTCACAATCACCATCCTGGTGAGGTGGTCAGTAGTATATTCCTACTGCTATACTCTTATTATTCAATCATGGAATTTCTATCCGTAGAGATGCTATGGTATAATTTGTTTCATTTCAGATTTTTACTATATTTGATTAGGTTTTTTCACATACAACGCCATTCCCCCACCAGCGCGACCTACTCTGTCATTCCTATATACACCTCTACCCCGATATAACGCGACCCGATATAACACAAATTCGGATATAACGCGGTAAAGCAGCGCTCCGGGGGGGTGGGGCTGCACACTCCGGCGGATCAAAGCAAGTTCGATATAACGCGGTTTCACCTATAATGCGGTAAGATTTTTTGGCTCCCGAGGACAGCGTTATATAGGGGTAGAGGTGTATTTTTTATCCTGGTATTACCATGTCCCATTGATTATCATTGTTCCACCAAGGTTCTCTGATGCCTATTATATCAATATCCTCAGTTAATACCAGGCACTCAAGTCCATCTTAATATTTAGACTTCTTGCATTTGTATACAAGCACTGTCAATATTTAGTTGTCTGCCTTCATGTGATGTAATTGAATGGGACTCTTTTTTCATTTAATTGTTTCTCTTCAGTTCCTACCTGTACTTTTATCAACTTCTATCCACTCCTCTTTACTCGGATATAGAGTATCTCCTTTAATAAATCCTCCCCGAAGAAATACATCTCTCCAAACCGGGTGCTCCTCTGCACCTGTCAGCTTTTACTGTTGGTGTTGATGCTGCTACTTCTGTATCCTGGAATGTCACTGGTACTGACTGATTGGCTTGTTATACAGTATCACTTGTTGGTTGGGTTCCAATTGTTATTACGCAAGCTTGCTCACGATACCATCTCAAGCAATCTGCTTTTTCATGACATGCTTGGTATATGGTTCATAACTGTTCGCTCTGTGAGATATTTTTGTCTGTTTTTTCCACAGCTTTTGTTTTGATGTCAGAAACTCTTAATCCTTCAAAGTGTACAGTTGTGATGTTCAACAGCCAGCAGCACTGATTTGCAATTGGCATGAGAGTGTGCTTGCTTGGACTAAAAGTGCCTTTTAAAAATAATTCTGTTTGCTGTATGCCATATAGTCCCCACTTCCCTGTTCAAACACTCTTCATGTTGACTGCAGCAAAATATATTGCATTAAAAATAAAATATTATGCTAAGGCTCCCCCGTGAGCCTTTCATAACCTTCCGTGTTGATTGCTTTGAAATCTTCTATTTAAAAGCGAAGTGTTATGGCCACTGGTTTCCTTTTTGCTGAAATACATTTCAAAGTGCCCCTTGGTGACTTCTGTAGAGGTGTCCCCTTTGTCTGCCAGCACAGGACTAGATTCTACCACATTACATTGAATAGTTCCTTAACATAGACATAGACCCATTGGTATCAGTCGGGCTAGTCGTGTAGCACCACAATGTAAGGGAATCAGAATCTGGCCCGTTATACTAAGTAATGTACTTATTTTAATCACTGACGGTGATTCTTCGAATTATCATCTTATATGATACTGCAGCTTCCAATATTTTTTTTTAAACTACTGTGTATATTATAGAGTGGATATATGAAAAGTCACCGTAAGGGTAATTGCCAGGCATGTAATTTCATCTGTAGGTCCCTATAATGACTGCTAATGTCATAAATTCCTCTTTATGAAATTACAGGCTTGTAACCCTTTCAGGGCATCTTGCATTCTTCATAGAAGTAGTAAGACTAAGCTTTGGTGGTGATCTCAGTAAACTCACATGCTGATCGCAGGTGCTTAGTCTGTCATCAGACTAAGTAAATGATTAGGGCAGATGCAAATGAGACAATTTGGACATGTTTTAGCTTATCTATTAAGACACCTGGATGACTTGTTAACACAACTACTTGTAACTGAATGTATATGCTCATAAAAGACATTGACCATTGATCTTATATCCAATTATAATACAAGAGGTAAAGTTTTAATGGGGTTGGAAAAGCAACTGGATTGCAGCCAGAGGAACACAGAGTTGTTTTCCCCATAATTCACTAAGAATATTGAAAATTTGTATCCAGCTCAGAGGCTTTGGGTATAGAACAGGAGCATTTTCTTGTAGTTAGCAAGCTGGACTGGGTGTCAGGAGATCCAGATTCAATTCCCAGCTCTGCCACAGACTCCTGTTGAGGCCTTGGGCAAATCACTTAATCTCCCTGTGCTTCAGGTTCCCTCTCTGCAAAATGGGGAGGATAATCCTTCCTTTCTCTGTCTTGTCTATCTAGGTTGCAAGCTGTTCATGGTGAGGACTCTCTCACTATGTACAGTTCTTAGCACCTTTGTGGCTCTGACCTCTAGGCACTATTTTATCATATAATAATATTATAGACTGTTTTTCAAGATATCATGGAAACAGGTTGCAAAAAGAGGGGGGGAAATCTGAAAAATATTTAAGGGTTTTTTTGACTTAAAAGAAATGTTTTGTGTCCCCCCAGGGAATGATGTACCTGGAAGAGAGGAGACTGGTTCACCGGGACTTGGCAGCCCGGAATGTCTTGGTAAAATCACCAAACCATGTGAAGATCACCGACTTTGGCCTGGCCAGGCTCCTGGAAGGCGATGAGAAAGAGTACAACGCTGATGGAGGGAAGGTGGGTGCATTCACGCCAGCAGTCCTGGTCTTGCTCTTTTGCAGGGGCCTTCATTCATTCCAGTGCAAAGCTCTTGTTCTCTCTATTCCATCCCTTGAAAAGGGTACACCTATTGGAGCGTGACCATGGACATTATTAAAAGGAAACTTTGGAGATGAAGGCTGAGATTTTCAAAAAGAGAAACTGAACGTTAGGCTCCTGAATTCACAGTTTGGTACAAGCCTCATTTTTCAAAAGTCCTGAGCACACCAGAGCTGCCTTTGACCTCAGCGGGAGCTATGGCTATGTACTCGGCACTCTGGGAAATCAGGCAGGGCCCAGTCCTGCGAGTTATTCCATTCTATTCAATGGGCCTCGGCAAGGTACAGGGCTTGGCCTAAGAGGAGCCCCACTGAGCAAAACAGGATCGTGGCCGGGCTTTGTTCTTGTGTCTTCCATTTTGTGCTGCATTTCTACTGCAATGAAAACATCTGAATTCAGTGCAGTGCCGTTGTTCCCGTTCATCACTGTAGGCTATTGCCAGCACTGAGTAGTTTGCAGGCTACTTTTCCTAGACAGATCTCTCTCCAGCAGCCACAAGGGAAGGGGGCAGGAGATGTTCACTTGTAGCGTGTCCATTAAGGTTTTACATGTGGTTTCCAACAATCTGCCTGTTGGCTCACAGTAAAAGAATCTGTGCATGCTGTTCCCCAGTTCCTTGTTGCAGTGCCAACATTTGCTCAAGACATCTCTGAAAGGATGCAAAATACTGGGGCACTCAGGAGAGCTGCTGCATGTAATTAAAACAGACAGGTTTTAACCTGGGCACCTGGGACACTTTCCGCTGTTCTTCCCATATTATTTCCCATTGCCCCTCCATAGTTTGAATTCCTTTAGTGTCTTACATAGACTCACCATTGCAAGACTTGTTAAAGGCACCCAAATAGAGGCATAACAACATTCAGGCGGTCCCAGACACAAGGTCCAAGTGGCTATGCCATAAACATCTTTGAAATGCCTCACCAAACATGCTCATCTTAACCTGCCTTAGTCTCTCCTCCAACTCCATCAAGTCCCTGGTGGGTCTATGTCTCTCCTCATCCCCTTTTCCAAATCCTTGGTCGCTCCCCCCCGTGCTCCCCCCCCGCATTTTCTCTGTTCGCTTATGCTGGTGGCTGAGTAGAGACTGCTGCCATCATCTGTTACTTCCTGGGGAGAGTGGCTTCCTTCCTAAGTGTGCTGCTGCTGAGTTCAACTGTTCCATGAATAGGAATTGCGGGGAGCAACAGGGATACAGCTGGTGGGGCAAGAAGCGTCAAAGAAATCAGCAGCAGATTCGGGTGAAATTTTTTGACTAAAACTTTTTTTGGATGCGGGGGCTGAAAAATGCAGATTCAGGTCAACCAAAACATTTCACTAATTCATGTAGAATTTTCCCCGTTGTTTCGGTAAAAAACAAAAAAATCCAATAATATCTCAACTTTTCAGTTTTTTAGTCAAATGACTTTTCATTTTGACATTTATTTCAATATTATTAAAATAAAATTTTTTAAAGTTTTAAAAGCGAAACAAAACATTTCACTTTGGGTCGAACGAAATGTTTCGTTCAACCCAAAATGAAGGGATTTTTTTTTTTTTTTTACTTTTCCATTCACCAATTTTTTTTTTTTTTTTAAATTGGGTCAAGTGGAAACCCATTTTTTTCTGGGTTTTTTTCCAGAAATGCCAGTGAACTGAAAAATCAGTTATTTGCACGGCAATAATCAGTGGCTGCTTTTCGACTCCCTAGCACTGCAGGGACCTTCTGGCAATGAGGATAGAGATTTGGCAGCCTTCCCTGACTCTTCCAGTTCCTCTGATCTCCCCTCCAGCACCCCCTCTGCCTCTTCTCCACCCATTCCTTCCCGTGAAGGACAAAGGAAGCCTATAGATTCTTCCTGCAGCTCTTGGAGGGTGTCCTGGACTCGTGGGCCCAAACACACTACTGGGGGCTGGGGTAGGATGTATGCACCAGAAATTTGACTGTCTTGCTTCTGAGAAATATCCCTTCCCAAGCCAGAAGTTGTTTGCATTTTAAAGCTGTACTGTAAGTTTGCTAAGGAGGGCTTAGGCAGTTGATGAATAATACAGCTCTGCTGTTGAAATTGTTCCTGTCTGGAAAAATTCTATAGAATTTAATAGACTTCTGCAGAAATTAAATAGGTCTCTATAGAACTCACTATGATTGCCTTTCTGTAAAGGCATTATACCAACCTATAGAATTTAATAGAGAGTGATATCCTGGCCGTAAATATAGAGATTACAGTTCTCTAATCAACTACATAGGATATTTTCACAATGCAGACTCATTAACTGCTTTATCCAGCCATTAAGATTTTACCAGGGCACCTGCAGTTGTAGGTTTATTTGGTGGGGAGGGTTTCCTTTCAATGACATGCACTATAGTTTCAAAAGAAGATGACCCTTACTTGGTAGGATATAGTGTATACCCTGAGGCTCTGCTCCTACAAGGCAATATTCATGGCACACACTGCCCATTTGAAGTCAGTGGGTGTTTGGGATGCAAAGGGCTTGCAGGATCGGACCCTTCACACACACACACAAGTCCGGAAATGGAGAAGTTAAAATTCTCATCCCACTATTAACTCATTGTCTTGTAGCATTGTCAATGACTATATAGGTTGTTATGTATCTGCGCTAGTGCTTTGGTTTTGCAAAACCTTGTCAAAATCAAAAGGGTTCCATTTTTTCCAAACCATCTAAATTTTAGGGGTTTGGACACAGTCATAATATTGGGCAAACTGGTTTGATTTTATAATGCTAAATCCAGGGGTAACAAGAAACTGGTTTTTCCAATGTATCTGAACCACCAAGCTTGGGTGCGGTGAAGGATTTCTAATAGAAGGTTCTGCTTATTTCTAACCTCAGTATATGCTGTGGGCCAAAATCTGTTCTGTTCGCTTTCATTTAAGCTCTTTACACCATCCCCATGACTGTGATAGCTGAGTGCCTGCTCTGCTCTTCATTATGTGTGTGCAACATCACCAGGTCAGATTCTGTCCCCCGAGCAACCCCACTGAAATCGACACATGAAGAATTCCGTGGGGTTGCACAGACTGTAAGTCATTGCTACACTGTCTCTCTGAGGGCTCCTTGCACGTTAATGAGCACAGAATTTGGCCAAGTATTTATTTACTTTATTGGGGTGAGCCTTAATTTTTTAATGTCCTGACTTTGGGGGTTTTTAAATTAGTAACTGAGAGAGGGAGAGAGAACTAGATACCTGGGTTTAGGACCCATTAATATTATTTTATTCATTATTATTTTTCTAACTTTCATGTATCTTTTTGCTCCCAAGATGCCAATTAAGTGGATGGCTCTGGAATGTATACACTACAGGAAATTCACCCATCAGAGCGATGTTTGGAGCTATGGTAAATCTTCCATGTGATTGTGCTTAAGAATTCATCTCTTGTGAAATACATAAAGTTCTTTTATTGTGTCACTGATGTTTATTTATCAACCCATATTTCCTAAAGGAGATAACTGTTACCTTGTGTTTCCTCTATTTTTTAAAAAATATACATCTAAATTGCATTGTTACCTGTCTTCTGAGTTATTTCCCTGCTCACTAAAATGCATTATCACAACGTCCCCACTGGGTTGCCTGCCAGAAGCTCTGTTTTGGTAGCAGTTCGGCTGATCATTGTGACAGAAAAAAGCCTCTTTTCGTTTCGCCACAGATTGGTAGAAATATGACTGCGGGTCATAATTTCCAACAGTTCTTTGAAAACCGAACTCTGAAAGCCAGGAATGTCAAAAAACATTTTCTGGCTTATGGGAGTTTCTGTACTAGTCAGATAAAAGGGAATATGTCATGACACAGAACACATACAGCAAGAGAGGGGGAGGGAGAAGAAAGCAAAGAGCAGAGGCTGACTTATACATGCTTAGGTTTAATTTCACAAACAACTTTGGAATTGGTGAGAAAGGTCAGGCCACAAGGAATCTAAACTGAAAACCAAGTGATTTCAATATTTAGAGAGTTTATTTAATTGTGTTAACTACAATATCAGAATGAGCTCTTAGGCATCTGCTTGGTTGTTTGCCTGTTTAACTTGTCCAGCTGTTAGTGAGAAAGTAACCTGCACCTTTATAAATGGGATCTCACAGCATCAGACGCATAATAGGTAATTAGAGATACTGGACCTCATCCAAAGTTTCTGTTGCTGAATAGTTTTTTGAAACAAAGCTGTGCAGTATCAGCTGAAACTCATTACTCACGTTTAGCTGTGGGTAGCAGTAAAATACACTGTTTGCTATTGCCAGGTAGCTATCTTCTTCTGTCCAGCTAAGAAAAATATATGATTCTAGGATATTAAAACTGTATGCATAAAGCAGCTTCCTCCCCACCCCCAAATCGTGTATTGCCCCAGTTAGCAAAATGTACATCTTCCTCCATTATTTATGCAGCTCAGTTTAAAACAGGAGGCCCAGCACATCTGTAATTTGAAAGAATAAAACAAGACGATGGACAAGATTTAGTTATTAAACATCAGTGTGGAGGTGAATGGGGGAGAAAATAAATGCATGTTTCTTTGATATGTATTTTTACTTCTCTCTCCTCAGATTAGAAGTGACAGTCTGCAAAATATGATTACCAGGCTGGAGGCATATTTTAAATGACCTTTACAATAAAATAAAAGCAAAACAAAGGAGACTGTTAGGAAAGCAGCAGTATTTTTAATATTAAAGATTGTCTTTTGGGATAAATTCTGTTACTTGTGATATATGTTATTTATCTTTCTGCTTAGCTGCCAAAAAAATCCTCAGGCTATTCAAAAAGAGGATCCCAGGTTTAAATCATAGGATTATCATAACCCAAATCCATAAGGTGCTTTAAGAGGAACCAACACAACTGGCTGTGAATGACTTACAAGGCAAAGATAATGGCATCACCTTATTCACTCTGCATCATTATGGGAAATTGATGCTGTAATTTAGAGAACATCTTCAGGTTTTTTGCCCCTTACAATAACATCAACCATTCATTTTCCATTTTGATATGATAAAAGAGCCAGGCATATTCTTTTGTTATTGTTTCCATTTATATGTTCTAAGTCTTCCATATCTGTCATGCCTGCACTCGACACCACTTATTTGTTCTAAGTCTCCCCATCTGTCCTGCCTGCACCTTTTCTTAACCCAATGCAAACAAGAGACACCATCGTTAGAATCGGACTCAAGTGCTGTTCCGCACTCTTCCAATAGTCTTTAAGTGGTGGATCCAACATAAGTCTGAGCAAGCTATGGACATGCACTGGTTCTGAGAATGAATGAGACAGGTTCATCACATTGTAATCCAATATTGAGCCTCAAACTGATCCATAAGGTGTTTTTAACAACTTAAATAAAACATGCTCCTAATCTTATACTCGTTTGTTCCCAGGTGTCACTATCTGGGAGCTTATGACCTTTGGCGGAAAACCCTATGATGGAATCCCGACACGAGAAATTCCTGACCTGTTAGAAAAAGGGGAACGGTTGCCCCAGCCTCCTATCTGCACCATTGATGTGTACATGGTGATGGTGAAATGTGAGTAACTGTCGTTTTAATATCACTGTGGTCAATGCTAGCAGAGCCTATTCCATTGCATCTACAGTCACTGACAGTGCTTGCTAATAATGCAGACTGTTTCAAAACAAAAAGCTTCCTACGGTTTTATGAATTACATTTGAACATAGCATGCACCTTTTTTTCCCCCCCAATTGCAAAGGATATGAGTTTAGCCGTGAAGGGTTTGAGTTAGCTCCTCTTCTTATTACTGTGAGATGGTATCACACATCCTCGCTATGAAGTCAAAATTGTATGATTGTGATAGTAAACACTTGTCATTTCCATGACAATTGATTTTGATGTAAAAAACGATAGCATTAAACATAATTATGGTACATGGGTAGTCAGGCATTGAAGGTGGCAAAGAGAAGAGTTGGTTCCAAAACAGAAATCTCAAATATTGAGGAAAGAAATCCATAATGGTTTCTTATTAAAGAGAAATTGACTTAATCTAACAAATATAACACAGCTGAGGATTTGTTTTTGTTTGTTTAGTCGGATCCAGTAGTTTATAGACATTTATAATTTAGCAAAAAATTAAAATAGTTTATATCTGGATTCTCACTTAACCTGCCCTCCTTCCCCCACAAAAGAGAGAGAGAGAGACGTGCACGCAAATGGGTCCTCAAAGCCTAGACTTCTAATTAAAAAAGAATTAGGAACATCTGTGTGGTGCTTCTGACTTCATTTAAGTGAAATTAACATACAGCCATTTCTTCGTTCTGACATGGGCCTTTCCCTTTTGATTTGCACACAAAAAATAGCAAAACTAAGAAGATAAACTGGAGGAGGTAAATATGTATATTCTTAGTAAGAAAATGGGATTTCTCTCTTCTCAGAGTTGCATTTTTAGCCTGAAGCTTGTCATATGGGTGCACGATATCACTCAGGAGATTGCTAATGGGATATAGTTCCTTTCATCCCTAACTGCAAGATTAAACCCAACACAGGTCATTTGGGGCTGAAGGCTGCCACACATGTTCAGTACAGGGGCTATTTGGTGGCTTGTGTTTAATGGTTTCATCTAATTCCCAACGAACAAGTGTCCGCATCAGAAAAATCACAGTCCCTTAGTCTCAATATGCACCTCCTTCCTGGAAGTCTTAGCAGAGAGGCCAAGGATTGTAACATCCTCATCTTAGTAATGGGTGTAGGTTGAGGCACATTGGTCAGACGTTATGAGGTAATTTGCAACGTAGCTTCCTGTACTATATACACTCTGTGGGTAAATAGGAGCTGAATCTTCCGCACTGTCCATCTGGAACCTACATGGGCCCTAAAATCCAAACACAAACAATTCTGATAGGGAGCAAATGGAAGGTTTTGTTTTTCAGCAGACTGCCTTTCCTTTAGTCTTACACAATGCTGATGTGAGGGCAATCTACCCCTTAAGCAGTTTGTCTATGGCTCAGGTATTATTTTTGTAAGAATCGCATGACATTTCCTTTAATACAGGAATTCTCCTCAATATGTCATTTCAGCCATAGAAACGGATTCTGCATGTTTTACTCGTGTTGATGAGTCCATTAACCATGTGAATAGTCCCGTTGACTTCAGCGGGGATACAGAGATGCATAAGTTTGTGAGAATGGATTGCAGCATCCTTGCAGGCTCTATAAGATATGGATGATAAAAGAGCAAGGCACTCGATTGTCATGGCATCAAGTGATGCAACCGCATGTAGGTTGGAAGTTGACGAGAAGAGCTAAACACATGGAAGGGGACCATTTGGATCAAACTCAAGAATAGTCTAATAGAACACAGTTCTAATGAATAAGAAACAATTCTATAGTGTGGAAAGCAGATGCAGGTAGATTGGATTTTCCGGGCATCTTAAATTGGGGAAACCATTGCTAATGGTGTACCCGTAATCTTTTAGTGTTCTTGCCAAACTGCCTTCTGGCTAAGGAAGCTTTGGTTCTTCTACTTTGATCACATGTTCAGTGTAATAGGGCTATAAGAGATAAGGACTATTTCTTAATGAGAGTCCCTGCTAAATGAGGACACATTCCTGTAAAATTGCTGATGGAATCTTTTCGTAGAAGAGGTTGGCACTGATATAAACCAGCAGCTGTTGCTGAGTGGCATTTATCAGTTGCTTTGCACTAACTATTTTGCAGAAGGCATTCAAAGAGGAGGCCCTTCTTTCTAATGAACTTTTTGAGAGAATGCGAGGGGGGAGGGGGAGTCCTTGCTTGTTTGAGGCGGAATCTGTCTCGATAATAGCTATAGCCTGCAGCAGGGGTTATGCCTGCAAATAATGTTAAAATGTAACCCATAGCTGATGATGGCAGCACTAAGACAACGTTCCCCAAATGGTGAGGAGAGAGAAAAAAATGATTGAGAGAGGTCAGAGTGTTCAGATCTGTTTAACAGTCTGCTATAACCTGGAATACATTATGGATTAGCAGATCAGGTAGAAATGTTTATTTTACTGGTAGTATTATGATCGTGCCTAGAGGCCCTGATTGAAATACAGGCCCCATCATGCGAGGTATGGTACAGATCTATGGTAAGAGACATTTCCTGCCCCCAAAGAGCTTCTGATCTAAATAGACAAGACTGATAAGCGGGACGGGATTAGAAAGACTTTAGTACCATCCCCATTTTAGAGATGGTAAACTGAGGCACAGATAAAGTAAGCTACTTGCCCAAGGTCCCACAGCAGCAAAGCCAGGAATTGAATACAGATCTCCAGGTCTTAACCACAAGATCTGACTTCCTCTATTTTAGAAGCATTGTTTATTATCATCTTTCCAATTTCCCTGAACAACTGAATTGTGTTTTTTCCTCTGCAGGCCAAATACACCAAAGTCATCATCACACTTCATACTCAGGATTGTTTCAAATGTTGTTCAAAATGTAATGGTATTCCTTGTTACCAATCAACTTTTTATTTTCTTCTTAAATCTGTCCCCAGGCTGGATGATTGATGCTGACAGTCGGCCTAAATTCAAGGAATTGGCTGCTGAATTTTCTAGAATGGCTCGAGACCCTCAAAGATACCTTGTCATTCAGGTCAGCAACTCTGGAACATCTAGAAATCATTTTAATTCTGCTTGTAGCATCACAGAAATGTCGGGCTGGAAGGAACCTCGAGAGGTCATCTAGTCCAATCCCCTGCACTGAGGCAAGACCAAGTAAAGCTAGACCATCCCTGACAAGTGTTTGTCTAACCTGTTCTTAGAAACATCAGCTAATACTGTAAGATAGCTCAATACATATAGACCAATGCCGAGATGTGAAAAAATGGGGGCATGGAATTCAGTTCCTAACTCCATATTTACATTATCCCAGATCTACTCAGCATTGGGGAGGCCTCAACTGGAGCACTGTGTCCAGTTCTGGGCACCACACATCAGGAAAGGTGTGGACAGATTAGAGAGAGTCCAGGGGTGAGCAACAAAAATGATAAAAGGTTTAGAAAACCTGACCTGTGAGAAGAAGTTAAAAAACAAACAAACTGGGCCTGAGTAAAAAAGACTGAGCTGGGACCTGCTAACAGTCTTCAAATATGTTGAGGGCTGTTATAATGAGGACAGTGATCAATTGTTCTCCATGTCCACTGAACGTTGGACAAAAAGTAATGGGCTTAATTGGCAGCAAGGGAGATTTAGGTTGGACATTAGGAAAACTTTCTAACTATCAGGGTAGTTACGCTCTGGAATAGGCCTCCAAGGGAGGTTGCGAAATCCCCTTCACTGGTGGTTTTTAAGAACAGGTTGGACAAACAAATGGAGATGAATAAAAATTGCAATGTCAATAACATAATTATTAAATACCAGAGGCCAGAACATGGAATTAGTTTGGGCCAGATTCTGATGGGCTGACTCACAATGATCAATACAGACAGTTCAGTGGAACAATTTGATCAGTAAGACAATAGTCAGCATGAGTAATAGTATCATAATGTGACCTTTTCCTAGCAATATTCCCCACTGAGTTCAAAGGGGAGTAATGTTTAAAAAGAGAAGGCCCCCGAAAACCTGCCTGGATAATTATTTCACTAGCTAAAAGAACTTACTGCATTCTTTGTACTTCCTTTCATTATCTTTTTAATCTCCTTGTCAAGGTAATTTGCTATATAATCTGGCGAGTATTTCATCATTTGAGGTCACCCATGTGGCCTCTTTCATAGTGCTGTTTGGCCTCTTCCATAGCGGTCGGTTAGGACAATAAAGGCCAAATGTTCATCTCAATTTAACTCCATTGCAGTACTAGTGTCACTGCCCTTATAGAAAGTCCTCTGGAATATAATCAGGAATGATAACCTCTCTGTGAGTGAGGTAATATCTTTTATTGGGCCCTACTGCAATCCAAATGTTGTCATTACCCAGTTTAATTCCTATTGATTTCGTCCCTATTAAATTCTTATAAGGCCTTCCATATGGCTAACAGGGGAATTTCACACAATAAATCCTTAAAAAACACAAATAAAAATAAAATAAAATAAAAAGCAAAGAGGCCCACTTTCCATTATATATATGTTTTCCTGCATTAGCCTTAATATCTCAAATATTTCACAACATACAGCAGACCTTCCCAGAAGCTGGTCTACTGGGTCCAGAATTGAGTCTGTTTTAAAAAAGAAAGAAAAAAGTTCAATAACAGGAGGGCAAAACATTTTATTTTTGCTTGATTAATGCAGTTATTCCCCTCCTGTCATCATATTCCCAGCCAAAAATCAAAATAAACTATGTAGCTGTGGTGATGTAGGGCAACCTGAGTATATGCATGGTCTCTGCACCATGACTGTAAGGTGGTGTAGAAAACAGGTAACCACGCTCATAGAATTAATTCATCTCTGTGTTATCTTCCTCTGTCCATGTGACACATTCAGGGTGACGACCGTATGAAGCTCCCGAGTCCAAACGACAGCAAATTCTTCCAAAATCTCCTGGATGAGGAAGACCTGGAAGATATGATGGATGCTGAGGAATATTTAGTTCCTCAGGCCTTTAACATCCCTCCTCCTATCTATACCTCCAGGGCTAGAATCGACTCCAACAGGGTAAGAGCAGCTACTGACTCTCAAAACCATGACTAGAGTTTTAAGTGCTCTAATCAAGCATAAGCCTGAGTTACCCTGGGAAATCTAAGCTTGAAGTGCGTGGAGAGTGACTATAAAAATGGCATCATGGGGTTCCAAGTTTATTGTGTCTCAGTGAATTCCAAATCAATAGCTCCGCTCACAAGTGAACAAAGGTATTCTTTGAACAGCCAGTCCTGAATGCTCAGCCTAGGATTGTAAAGCCACGCTGTGTTCTTTCTGGACAGTGCATCATCAGTGCCAGTAATCACGAGTCTTTCAGTCTACGTCTGCCAGACAAACCCATTACTTGTAAAGGGATTGCACAGGTCTAACTGAGAGCAGCTGGAATTAAGTACACAATCCTGCCAATGCATCTTGAGCCGGAATGGAATCTAGCTCTTTCTCCAGTCTGTCTGTGGGCTCCTTTACTACAGTATCTGAGCACCTCACAGTCTTTACTGTATTTAGCCTCACAACCCTAAGAGGTAGGACAGTGCTATTAGTCACATTTTACTGATGGGGAACAGTGGCATAGAGAGGTGAAATGACTTGCCCAAGGTCACACAGGAAGTCTGTTGCAGACTAGGGGCTTGAGCGCAGGTCGCCTGAACTGCTGGCTAGCTCCCTACAAAAAAATAACTGTGGCAATGAGTCTCAGAGCCTAGGTCAGCTCATTCGGGCTCACACTATGGGGCTAAAAGTAGCAGTGTAGATGTTCCCGCTGGAACTGGGCGAGTGGGGTTGGTCTCAGAGCCTGGGCTTCAGTCCGAGTGGGAATGTCTGCACTGCTATGTCTAGCTCTGTAACATGAGCCTGAGTCAGTGGACCTGGCCCTGAGACTCACTGTTGAGGGTTTTTTTGTGTTTTGTTTTTTTGCTGTGTGGATGTACTCATGGTCTTTGGAGCATCCTGCCTTCTGGCTCTGCACTTCTAACAGGAGATTAAAAATGTTTAAATAAGATTGGTGATCTGGTGTCCTCTCTGAAGGGAGGAGAGATGACTCTAAACGCATCAGGTTAGGATAAGAAGTTGTCATTTTTGCACAGACACATTTTTCCAAGGGAAATCACATCTAAAACACTGACCAAAGTCTCTCCATAACAGGCATAGAGTTTGATTTCCAGCAGTGCTAAACACCCACAGCTCCAGCTGGAACCAGTAGGACCTCAGCATGTGCTTAAAGTTAAGCAAGTGCTTAAGAGCTTTCCTGAATAGAGATGCTTTCCTGAATGAGGGCCATAGTTTGGCTGAGCTTGCGATCTATACCCATAATGCATCTCCGAACTGTCTTGGGTCAGCGAAATTGGGCTGTAAATTGGCACTGACTATAACAGCATCCAGTAATCACCACCGTTATTATGGTTTACTCTCACAGTTTGATTAACAGCAATGACATTTATTCCTTACTGTTGAGAAATCTTCTGATTCCCTCTTTAATCCAAGCAGTTCCAAATTCATGCAGTGGGATGGATTAAATCACACTGCATATGGAAGGCAGTGAATATTGCTTATGAAAAGAAATCAAATAAGGAGCAGAACTAACGACCTGGAGCCAGAGTTTGCCATTCTGAGCAGTATTTTATTTTGCACGGTCTAATGGAGTAAGGTGAATAAGGAGGGGACAGAATCTGTTCCTTAATAAGTAATAGCTGAGTTTTAAATAAGTTACTCATGGTTTTAATTAGAGGCATGGACATCATTTTTCCCATAAATAAAAATAGATGTATTTGAAGCTATGTTCCACTTGCATTGTGCTTCTCGTGATCACTGCCAGCGTACAGTGGAAAACTAAAACAACTTCCTTTTACAGGGCCCCATCTCCATGTAGGGAAAACAACGAGTGTGAGTTGGCAGGGTTGCCACCTGAGCACTCCTGTGTGAGGGTGCGGGATTTGCTGCCATTATCGCAGGGTCTTGGCTCCAAGTCCCATGAAGCTTGGGAGAACCCTCACCATGCTACCTTCCCTCCTGGCTGCTATGGGGGCCTGGATCAGGCAGGATCCATGCAACCATCATGGGTACGTCTACACTGCAATAAAAAGCCCACAGCACCGAGTCTCAGAGGCTGGGTCAATTGACTTCGGCTCGCGGGGCTCGGCCTGCGGGGCTAAAACTAGCAGTGTAGGCATTCAGGCTTGGGCTGGAGCCCAGGTTCTGAGATCCTTCCCCTGAATGGGTTTCAGAGCCCAAACATCTACACTGCTATTTCTAGCCCCACGAGCCTGAGTCAATTGACCCCGGCTCTGAGACTCGGTGCCATGGGTATTTCTTTTCAGTGTAGACGTACCCAGTGATACCTGCCCCTTCAAGTCCTCTTCCGAGAAGAATGTCACATCATAAAGAGGAAACCAGTGTTAACTAATGCTGAGAGGGCGACGTTTTCTGACACTGGGCTGCCAGTGGGATTGGGGATAGAGTGATGGCTCTGAATTTTCCTAGAGCATCCTATAAGTCTAGCGTTTTGACCAATATAATATTATACTTTCTCAATAGTTTTCACTACTTTCTGGGCCAGCTAAGGGCTGTGGAAGGCCCCGAATGCAGTGTAACCAATGAGATATCAGTTTACTAAAATGGGGGTCGGGTACAGAGAGCCTACACAGTCCATTCACACCCTCTGCATGGCATTGTGCCGTACTCCCCTGGGGCTCCATTCACCCTAATTCACAGGCATTATTTTTAGGGCAGGGAGAAAGGAGACTGCCGAGGGTGTGGCCGATGAATGTACAATTTATATATAATAACAGCTGCTGGAATCAGCAGAGGCTGACCCCTCTCATGTGACAGGGATATTAACCATTATAACTCTGAGCCATGTCAGATGTCTCGGTCAGCACATAAAGTCTGGTCTCTTGCTACCAGTCGCGTGTCTTACATTTATTACAGGAGTCCCCAGGCAGCATGCACATATCTGCACGCACACGGCTAGATTTCAGCAGAGCATAATGCTGAAGTACCTCCCTGGTGAATCAGACATGCTGTGTCTCAGATACATAGTTGCCATAGAGGCCCCTGATTTCTAACACAGATAGGTTTTTTTTCTGGATATAAGCTCTGCTCTGTTTGCTCTGCAGTTGCAATAATGCAGATAATAATCAATGGAGATAAGACTGCAATTGTTCCTCCTCTAAACATTCATGTTGATTTAAAACTAAATGCGCGGTAGCTCCTTTAAGAAGTATTCTTTCTACTGTGCATACTTTAAGTACAGATGGATGTCAGTTGCAGGAATCACATAGCCCTGAAATGCCTTCAAGTATCTATACATACAGTGCTTTGAGTCTGGCTTATTCCGTTTCCTTTGGGTAACTTGGATTTATGCTTGTTTGGCGTAACGAATATTAATATTAAATGAACTCATTATGATCAGTGTTATTACTGTGAATACCAAATACATCGATGCAGCTCAGGCAGTTTATGTTCATTGTTACTGGAAAATTAAAATTTATGTGAAAGTCTCCATGCTGCTTAGCTAAGGCAAGACACGGAGCCAGTAGCTATGGAATCTTCAGGTCTTTCCTGGAGATGAGGTGGTTGAAAAATACCGTTCGCACCATCTCGCCCTGCACTTACTGCGATTGTGTTTTAATTTAAAAAATGAGGCATGCTTACTGTGAGCCGCTAATGTGCTCTTTCTCTGGGCATACTGCACAGAACCTCTTGGCTTAAATGTGCCATAGCACAATTCTAACGAGGGATCAGGAAAGCAGGGAGATTCTGAGCCTCTTTGTGCTTAGACATTAAAGTCAGTGAACTGAAGTCAGAGCATTTGTTCGCTAAGGAAAGCTGTGAAGTTTCTGCTGTATGATCCTAAATCCAGGCAAGGTGATGCTAGGGTTAGGCACCAATGAAGGAGGATATACATAAGACAAATACAAAAAAACAGTGTAATATACAGTGGTGACATAAAGCTGTATCCCGCAGGAAAGATGAAACCTCAGTGGGATGGGATATGCCAGTGGCTCTCAAACTTTTGTACTGGTGACCCCTTTCACATAGCAAGTCTCTGAGTGTGACCTCCCCCTTATAAATTAAAAACACTTTTTTAATATATTTAACACCATTATAAATGCTGGAGGCAAAGCGTGGTTTGGGGTGAAGGTTGACAGCTCGCGACCCCCCATTTAATAACCTGGCAACCCCCTGAGGGGTCCCAACCCCCAGTTTGAGAACCCCTGGGATATGCCCTCCACTGAAATAAACAAGGTATTACCTTCCTAATCCTCTGGGGTCTGTTGAGATAGGCTGGAGGCACAAGGCCAAAGCCTCCTGTTACTCCACCACCACACACACACTGTTTTCCTGGCAGCCTGACTACTGGATCCGGGCTACCAAAACTCCTCTGTTTGTGGCTAACTCATGGACTCCCTTGGAGAAGAGTTCCCCCTTAAAGGGGAGTTCCCCAGCATGGAACTGGGCAAAAGTTAATGCAGGGGCTGGTCTGTCCAGAAAATTGGAATTTCAGCTAAACTACATTTTTCACATAAAGTGTCTGCTTTCCACAGAAAATTTTGACTTTTCATCAACACCTGTCAACCAGAAAGTTCCAAAATCAGCAAAGGGGTTAACAACTGGTGGGTTTCCAGTACTTAGTGTTCTGTTTGGGTGAATAATTTCATGCTTGTGAAAGTCTAGTCATTGCCACTGCAGTGGTTATAAGCCCAAGACTTTCCTTGCTAGCGCTAGCAAACCTCCTACATTCACAACCATACAATTATTGACTCTGATTTTTTAACAAGTACTGACCTGTCTGAACAGGTACAGTGTTAGGACAGATGGAAGTCTCTTTTGTGTGCATCTATGCATCCGATGAAGTGGGCTGTAGCTCACAAAAACTTATGCTCAAATACATTTGTTAGTCTCTAAGGTATTTGTTAGTCTCACAAATATTCCTGTTCTTTTGTGTTAGCATTTGTACACCACAATGCTTTTACCTTGGCTAATTCTCACTGCTGCTAACTATTTATACTGTTCAGTAG